CCCGCATATTCCCACTTACCGGTAGTGGGTCCATCGACGCGGGGCGGCTAGCCGCCTATCTGCTACCTGCCCGGAAAACTTAATCAATCCCGACGCCAGATTCAACCATTTTGTTTTTATATCTGACTTCTCACATAACATGTGCAGCCAAGATATGATTCGGTCTCACCGGCCCTGAGTGGCTGCACTGTGTGCGCCAACATGCATTTCAGAAGCCTCAGCGGCCTGGGTGATGTTGAGGTTGAGATGCGGCTCCTTCCTTTGTTATTAGTGATCGATCTGCCGGGTCCAACACCCGTCAGCTTTCAGAACATCAGGTCAACAGACGCCATGGGCACTGCTTCCCTTTTTACATCAACATCTTTTTTGCCGATTTTCAACTTCATCGACGAAAGAGCACTCGGGAGCGTACATTAGCCGTTTTTTTTGCACAAGATATCGCATCCTCCCGTCTTTCAAGCAAATACCGAGAGCAAATACTAGCAAGCGATCAAACGTCAAGCCCCTCACTTCTCTCCCCTCTCCCCCATCTATCCATTCTCCGTATCACATCCGATCCGGGGTCCCAGCTTGCCAGCATCTGTCCACGATCCCTTACACCGCTTCCGGCGGCCGGCGTATGTCTCCATTCGGTCGCCAGAGAAGCATATCCAAGACCTCCAACCCCCCCCAAACACCATCCGAGGAAGAGGAGTTTGGCTCCATTCATAGCAATCCCGGCTTTCTATACTTGCCACATTCTCTACACTACTGCCATTCAGGAACCGGGACCGCAAAGTGACTGTTGCCGCCTGCGTCCATTCAAGGGATTGTATGTCACTCGGTCACTGTCACAACCGCGACGCCGACGAATCGCCAAAGAACACGATGGCTTCCTACCTATATATGTTGCCAATAGACTTCGATGGCCATTTTTGATGCACGTTGGGGGAAGGGCTTGCTTTTTTCACGTTTGATGCGTACCACTACACTACTCAAATGAATTCCACATGTCTGTTTTAGAGAGCGTAAGCGCACCGATGGTTCTGGCTATCTTACCATCATGAACTCGTAATACCTCCAAGTCGTTGCACATATTGCGCGGAAAGCCACACATACAACAAAAGTCTGGACGCTTCCACGGCATCGTCGTCTCCGGGTCGTTGACCCCGACGCGGAGTACGGAGGAAACCCGATGCCGGTGAGCCGCAGACGTCCTTTCTATCGATGCACCCACGAACGCACAAAACATAAGACACGTCGTTCGCATGGCTTTTTGTCTCACCACCTCGCTACTATTGGTGGCATGTATAGGTAGCTCGGCGACTTACAAGCATCGCCTCGGGCTGGCGACAAATTCATGAGAAAAACAAAACCTGAGTGGCATATCACCCACCCTCTTTCGCAAACTTCTTGGCTTATGCACCCCATTATTGAACCAGACATTTGCCATTCTTTCCACCTTGTCACTCCGGGCTTACAAAACGACTGGATGGTTCGCCACAACAAGATCGTGGCCATCTTCCGACTTGACCATGACCGACCGACTCGCACAAAGCAAGACCAAGGCGAACGGCGTTCGACGCTTGCTTCTTCAGACTGCTCAAAATACGATCTTTATTGAGAGCTTGGTATCACAGGCTGGCATAACTCATACTACTACCCAAATGGCTGTTTTCATCAACGAAACAAAAAGAAAAGACATGAATTGCCCCCTCAAACGCAGTTGCAATTAATGACTACCCCCTTAATCCGACATGTCGACCACAGCACGGATGCAGTCGCCCTGCTTCATGACCTCAAAGGCCTCGTTGATCTCAGAGAGCTTCTTGCGGTGGGTGATGAACTCGTCAACCTTGATCTTGCCGTGGAGATAATCGTCGACAAGACCGGGAAGCTGAGAGCGGCCCTTGACGCCACCGAAGGCGGAACCCCTCCAGACACGGCCGGTGACTAACTGGAATGCTACAAAGCAGAAGAAGGTACGTTAGCATTATTTCTTCTGCACACAGAATGGCTAGGGGAGGAATGAGGTGACGCATGGAGAAGAAAACTCACGCCTGGTGGAAATCTCCTGGCCGGCAGCAGCAACACCGATGATGATGCTCTGACCCCAGCCCTTGTGGCAAGCCTCGAGAGCAGCACGCATGACGTTAACGTTGCCTGTGCAGTCAAAGGTGTAGTCGCAACCGCCGTCGGTGAGCTCGATTAGCTTGTCGACAACAGACGTGCCCTCGGGCAGAGTGGTCGGGTTGACGAAGTCGGTGGCGCCGAACTTGCGAGACCACTCCTCCTTGCTTGGGTTGACATCGACAACAATGATCTTGGAGGCACCATTGGCAACGGCACCCTGGATGACGCTGAGGCCGACGCAGCCGGCGCCGAAGATGGCGATCTGGCTGCCCTTCTCGACGTTGGCGGTGATGGTGGCGGCGCCGTAGCCGGTGGTAATGCCGCAGCCGAGCAGGCAGGTGCGGTCCATGGGGGCCTCCGGCTGCACAGCGACGACCGAGATGTCGGCGACGACGGTGTACTGGGAGAAGGTGGAGGTGCCCATGAAGTGGAGGATGTCCTGGCCACGGGCGCGGAAGCGGGAGGTGCCGTCGGGCATCACACCCTTGCCCTGGGTGGCGCGGATCTTGCCGCAGAGGTTGGTCTTGCCGGACTTGCAGAACTTGCACTCCTTGCACTCGGGGGTGTAGAGAGCGACGACGTGGTCGCCGGGCTTCACGTTGGTGACGCCCTCGCCGACGGACTCGACGATACCGGCACCCTCGTGTCCGAGGATGACGGGGAAGGCGCCCTCAGGGTCCTTGCCAGAGAGGGTGTAGGCGTCTGCGTATCACACCATGTCTTTGGTTAATGCGACTGCGAACTGCACGGAACCCCAACCGAAGCGAGCCATCAAGGTTCTTGAGGTGCGAGGAAACTCACCTGTGTGGCAGACACCGGTGTACTTGATCTGGATTCTGACCTCGTGGGCCTTGGGCGGAGCCACCTCGACGTCCTCATAACTGAGCTCCTGGCCGGCGCCCCAGGCGATGGCAGCCTTGCAAGTGATGGTCTGCGGAGATGGTAACCGGATCAGCACATGGTCCCTGATGACGCAAACTCATCTCTTTCTGACGATTGGAAATAAACCCTTCTTGACCTCCCAATCGCGGGACACCTTAGCTCTCAATAGAGCTGGAGCAAGCGTATGACGTGCGGAGGAGCTTGAGCTTGAGCTTGAGCTTCTGCTTTTCGGTTTTCTCGCTTACCTTTCCTACTGTGGATGCCATTGTGTGTGAATGTGCAGAGATGAATATTTCAAATTCAACTCCGAGTCGAGATGAAGTTCGGAGAAGGTCAAGTCAATTTATCTGACCACGATCGAACCAAGAAAGCCTGCGAGCTCGGTGAGAATCGACGACTTTGGAATGATGCAAAACGGGGCCTCTTTCCATCAACCGCAGCGCCGACCCCGCCTTCCACAAGGTGGGGTTCCGCCAAGTGGGTTTCGTACCGTACCGGTAAAAGAGATCATGGACCGGATTTTTAGTGAGCGTGTCTCATTAGCCTCTTCCCTTCTCGTACACGATGGAAACACAGCGTACAGTCAATCCGATGACAAAGTAGCACTGCAAGTCTTGAAGAGTGTCTCTCTCGCCTGTTTATCCGACTGGTTTCGGTGGTTTCACGGGATCCCGGAGATTGCTGTGGCTTTCTAAGCACACTGTTTTGAGCGGTTATGTTACCGAAAATGATGAGATTCTTACTAAGCTATATTGGGTATATAAAACCCATCCCGTGCCTTATCGACTAAAAAGCCTCTCTCTCGGTCTCGGCAGACGTCGCTATGTCCACTAACTCTGTTCATTTCCTCATTGACCTATTTTCTCACAAAGAGTACATATGCCAGTCACCAATTCTTCATTGTCGGCCACTTACAATCTCCAGCCGTGATGTTAGCTTATTACAACTCACTTCAAATACGTACCTATACACTACATCTCCCCCAAGTCTTCTTCCCCGCCGCTGTTGCAGCGAGCTTATGTGTAGCGGAGTCTCATCCCGCTTTCTGTGGACTTTATTGTTCACGCTAGCGCCTCACGTCGGGGGGAATTGACAGATTGTTAAATATGTCTTCAGAATTACGTGATTGAAGATTTCTTCTAGCATGTACATCTCGCCTCGAGAAAAACTCCCGAACCGCTCAACAGGTGCAGCTGGGCCGGCAGCCGGGCGGGTGTTATCGTTGCCGAGAAACGAGCTCCCGGGCCACATCCTTTGCGGCTCGAAGCTAGGAAGTACGTACCACTGAGTCCTGGCTATCATGTCCGCAAGGGTTGTGATATCGCTCTCAAGTATGTACATAGAATTACCACGAGCTCTCGGATCATGACGATAACGGTATCCATTGTCGCCCAGCTACGCTACACTCCTCGGGCAGCTGACCATATAATAAGCTCCTCTGAGCCCGGAGGTTACTGGTCCATTAACCACTCACCTCTTGATAGAACAAAGCTCGACGGCGGAGATCACTGATATGAGTTGTGATGAAGTGAAGTTTAGCTTGGCCTTGTTGGTGCCGTGAGCGACACAGACTCTTGCAAGGTAATGACTGCCCGACTATATGAGCCCCTTGCAAAAACTCAACTGGAAGTAACTTGTAGACTAAATGCTTTGCCTCCCCTGGTTTCCATTTCTTCACGAATCTTAAGTCCTCTTCTTTCAAGAGAAGCATTCTACAACGAAACGACCTGTCAAGCATGTGAACAGTCGAAGACAGACGGAGGACAACCAATGTGGAGCAATGTCGCTCAAAAGTAGTCCCAATCCCACAGTTACCCCTAACCCTACCCACAAAGACGGGTACAGCAGATCAGCTACACCAAGTCTCAACCCACGACAACAAATCAACAAACTCACACTTCACTTCTGCTTCACGTTCCGTAAATTGAAGAAGACAGAAACGACGACGCAAAAACTCTTACATACTCTTTTAATTACATCGCCATACCCAAAGCCAATCTCCCAAAATGGTTATCCCCCCTCCTCCTTCCCCGCTCCCCGAGTTCGTGTACAAGATCACGCCCGAAGCCCCGCCTAGCCCAATCCTCGAGTCCTACCCACTGTCGGAGCTAGACCAGAAGGATGGGTTTGTGCATTTGAGCACCTCATGGCAGGTATGTTCTATTCCGTCCGTTTTCAACATCTCAAAGTTTTATCTCCAAGCGCGTGGACACCATCGCTGACAAATAAATAATAAAAAAGATCCCAACAACAGCCGGCCTCTTCTTCACCACCACCCCTTCCTTCTACCTCCTCAAGCTGCGCCTGTCAAATTTTGACCAGTCCAGTGTCAAGTGGGACGAGGTCGAGGATACCAACGGGTGTCCCCACTTGTACGGCAACTTTGGGGCCAAGGATGTTGTTGATGTGAAGGAGTTCCGTCGTGGGGAGGGCGAGACGTGGGGTGAGGTGTTTAAGAAGGAGGAGGCTAAGGCTTGGTTGGTTTGAGCTTGAGGAGGGAGTTTTGAAGAAGAGAGGGTTTTCAGGAGGAGGAGAGCTGCGGTTTGGGATGTGAAGTGAAGGAGAGGAAAATTGAACGCCGAGGCGAGTGATCTTTTGATTGAATGATATAGCCTATTTACCTTGAAAGTACGGTCGCGTTGCCTATTAAGAGATTCAAGGACGTTTCCAATATTGTATCTCGACATCATCTCTCGAGCTTAATCCTCGCCATTCCATCCTCCACTTTTACTCTGCCATGTTCCGTTTTCACATGCAGGCCCTCCTCTTCCTCTTCTCCGCCTTCATCAACGGCCTCCCTTTTCACTCTTACAGGATCTTGTTCCCGTTTGACAGATTCACTTTTCACGACTGGTTCATCAAGTTGTTCCTCATCCTCCTTGTCCTCCTCAGCCTCCTGCTTCACCTGCCCAGCCTCTCGCTTGACAATGGCTGGCCCGTGATGGCCTTCCTGCTCTTCACCATCGGCGATATTGGGCTCTTGCTTCACTGATACGCGTTCCAGGAGTGGCTCCCTCTTGACCGAGCGTGCCTGGCGGTCTTCCGCGTCGTCATTATCAAGGTTCGGCTCCCGCTTGACGATCGTAGCTCCATTGAGGGATTCCCTCTTGACAGTGCGTGGGCGATGATTTTCTTCCTCGCCTTGGCCTTGGCCATAGAACTCCCGCTTCACTCTTGGATGCTCGGGCTTTACACTTTGCGGCTGAAGGTCGTCTTCTTGCTCGTCATTACCGAGCTCCTGCTTGACGGTAGATAGATCCCTTTGGGATTCTCGTTTCACGACCCGACGTCGGCGTGCCGACTCCCCCTCTTCATCATGAGTATTTGGCTCCTGCTTGACGCGCCCAGTCTCTCTCTTAATGACGTTCGGGAGCTGGTTCTCTTCTTCCTCAGCAGCCACTTCATGAACACGCTGTTCCTCTTTTACCCTAGGGACTTCTTCCTTAACAACAGGTTGTCGGTCAGCCTCTTCATTGTCCTCTTTTTCATTGGCGAGCCTCTCGCGCTTCACCCTCATACCTTCTTGCTTGATGATCATGGGCGGGCTGTGTTCTGTCGTGGGCTTGATGTCGGTATCTCCTTCATGCTTCACGATTGCGGGCCCATTGTTGCCAATGCCGGACTGAGCCTCATCGGCGTCTTCCATCTCAACATCCTCGGTGCTTTCCATCTTCACATCTTCATCCGCAGCAGCTTCCCGAACCGCCGGCGGTACGGGCTCGTTGACAACATCCCTGGCCCTGGTTTCCTGCTCTTCCTTAACCTTGACCTTCCTCTCTCTTTTCTCCCTCTTGATGACCATACCCCGCCTGTCTTCCTCAATCTCTACTTCCACCTTCTCCTCCTTCACAACCTCCCTCCTCTTTCTGCCCTCAATAACCTTCTTCCTCTCTGCGGATTTACACAAGCCCCTCAGTCCCAGCTCGCAATCACCGCACTTCCTTCCCACAGGAAGACACACCGACTGTCCGAATCCGACCAGTAGCCAGTTGATCTCCTTCCACTTGTCGCGGGGCAGCCACGATTGTAGCGCAAGGCGGGTCTCCTCAGGGGTCTTAGTGGGTGGGTTCTGCCAGCCCCAGAGGTTGGTGATGCGGTGGACGTGGACATCCACACCAATACCTTCAACGCGGTTCCAGCCGTTCTCGGCGGACATGCAAAGATGGGCCATCTTCGGTCCAACGCCAGGAAGGGACATGAGACCTTCGATGGTGTCAGGGATGTCGGAGTTGTAACGGTCGCGGAGGATTTCGGCGGCTTGTTTGAGGTATCTGTTTGGATTATAGCGTATTAGTATGCGGCTATGGAAACCGTGAATTTGAGAAAGAGGGCAAATGCATACTTCGTCTTGTTGTTATGGAATCCAACCTTGCCAATCAACTCGTTCAAAAGGGTTGGCTCAACGGCCAACATATTCTCCAAATTCAAGCCTGGTTCGGCGCCCTCGGTATGGGGAGGCAGTTCCTTCTTCAACCGCAACATCGCCTCCGCATTCACTGTGTCCTTGGTCTGACTTGACAACATCAAAGCGACAAGAGTATGAAATCGCCGATCGCGTGCTGATGCGTTATTGCTGGCCAGACGCTCACATCCCATGGTGTCGACGGCGGCGTTGGCAGCGGGGCCAGAGATGCGCATCTCCTTGACCAATCTGTAAACTTCCTCCCAGTCCGAAGGCGGCTCGACCTTGACCTCGCCAGTCAGGGCGTCGGTCGTTTTGCGAGCGGGCTTGCGCGCGGTGCGTTTCTTGCTGGATGTAGCTGACGTGCCAACGGCTGGGATATCGTTCATGTCAATCTCAGAATCCGACTTCACTTCGGCTTCGGCCGTTTGAGTGATGATCCTCGTGCTTTTCCGTTCGGTCTTGATTCTCGTCGGGGCGGGTAGGGGTTCTTCATTTTTCAACACAGTCGCCTTCCGCTTGCGCGTGCCGATAGGGTTCCTGCGCTTGACCTTGACGGCTGGCGAGCCATTGGACTTGACGGCATCTTCTATGTCCGACCCGAAGGTGATTCCGTCTTCGTCTTCCGCGTGTTCCTCGTCGACGCGTACTGGCGAAGATCGTAAATCAGCCGGCGCAGAACTCGAGCTGGCATTCGCATTGTTCGCTTCATAAGCGAATCGGGCGAGAGTGCTCAGACGCGTTGAGCGACGTGGTGTTGCTGGTGTTACCATGGCGGCTGTTGTTCCTTCGAACAGCCTCGATGTTTCTTTGGCTATGCGCGACGTCCTCATGGGTCAATAAATGAACGCGATGGAACAGTGAGCAGACTTTGCTTGTTCGACTGAAGTTATGTGCTGCTTCGACTGGTCGTTTGGATCGTTCGACTGTTTGGTTGCGCGGACGCGTGCACCTTTACAGCTAGCTTGCATTGAAAGGCCCGTCAGGCCGTATAAGATGAAACACTGAAACAACATTGGAAGCTCGAGCCACAGCGTAAAATCGTAGGGCGAACAACAATGCTGTGGATCCTCGCCTGCCAACCCCGCCAAACGCTAGGTTGCTTTAGGAAAGGCAGGCCACATTTACTGTGTAAGGTTGTCGGCTCCAACCTCAAATCGAGCCGGTCCATCGGTGACGTCGGTTGATAACGTGGAACGTTTCGATGTTCACACAAAGGGCCGTACTCAAGACTTCACATCCTTCTTATCACTGAAGAGAGAGCTTTCAAATATAACTCGAATTCTAGGTTCTAGGAGTCGCGGAGTACCTTGTCTCAAAACAAGCCAAAATCATCGTCCGCTGTTTGTCTAAACGTCGTTTCACAGCATGATGTAAGTACCTGTAACATATTTTGATGTACATGATGAAAGAAGCGCTGCCTCAAAATGCTGCGCCTTCCTGGAACAAAAAGATAACCTTAACCAAAGACAGTGAATATCTAGCCGAATAGTACATATGGAAATCAAGCAACGCTCGCTTTAAACCAGAAACTCCTCGTTCACCCAGTGGCTGAGCACTACTTTGCCCTCGTCAAAGGAAGGCTTCTCCATCCGCACAATGATGGCAGCATGGCTGTGTCGATCATTGTGAATCCAAACGGGATACTTACGCCAACCTAATGCATCCAGCGCGTTGATAGCAGCGAACTGATATGGCGCCAGAGCAAGTGTGGGTTGGTGCGGATGTGATTGCTTGCGCTCGAGCGCCAATATCTCCTGGTTAGAGGAATCGTCCGTCTCTTCGCCGGCATCGGTATCGGACAGCCCAAGATAGTCCTGGTTTTGAGAGCTGTTTAGGTCTTCATACGCATGTTCGACAGCTTCGCGCATTTCCTTGATCCATAGGTCCACCCGGTAACTCTCAACATTGATGCCAGCCAGGCCCTTCTCGTGCAGCTTAACTCTCTTGGAACTTCGGACGGTCTGAACCGCCGAGTTGATAAAGAAAGCGACCAATCCCAAGGGGACGAAGACCGCTACGGCCAGCATAAAGGGCACCCTGTTTATCCATTTCTTCAGGTTGGCGATAAACGGTTCCTTTGGCTTGGGTGGCGCGGGTGATACGGGGTTTGTCGGATCCAGAATAACAGGCTCATATCCCTTGACGTAGTTGACCTTCACTTTGTCCAAGTCGGTGTAGGGATCCGTTTTCGCTATGCCGGTAGTGTAGTGGACGGCAGACCTGTCGTTCACGATGTTCGTATAGAGAATGCGACGCTTGAACTTGGCAAGGCCGCGCATGAAGATGGATTTCGGATCTGCCAGAACCGCAAGAAGGGGCTTTCCCGTGTCGCGGAACTTATCAATACCGAAAAGTTGTCTCCCTGACATGCAAAGTGTACGCGCACCTAGTACGTTCCATACCTGATTTGCCCAACCACGAAGAGGGGTGCGCACTCCTAGGAATGGACTGGCAAATGCCGTAAATGTCTAGTACAAGGACGTCAGCTTGTTGTCTTGTCCAGATCGTTCCCCGAGAGTCCCATACCATGCAATCAAGGTTATCCAGCACACCTCGCGCATAAAGAAGGCCGATCGCATAACGGGCAACTAGGCCGCCGAGGGAGTAGCCAGCAATGCTGATCTTCTTTATCTTTCCTCCTCGACTTTCGATAGCTTGTAGTTCCTCCTCGATCTCGTTACACGCCCGTTCGCCACCGAGTTCGATGCCATCGTAAGTAAATGATCCGGCGTTTCGCTTCGCTACGAGGATGTTCAACTTGTCGCGTGGGTGCTGGGCGCGCAAAGCCCTGGCCACAGAGGCCATATGATTCGGGTTGCCCCAAAGCTGGAGTTCATATTGCGGGTCAGTTGTTTTGTTCGGCAAAGTGCCGGGCCACATGGGATTTGCGATCACGCGCCATGCACAAGCACAGCACGGATAGAAGCTCGGGGTAACAAGACTTACACCATGTATCAAAACGCAGAGGTGGTCAGCCTCAACGTCGCCTCCGGTATAATCCGCCATGGTTTGTTTATGGTCAGCGATCAGGGACCGATCGATAGATCGAAAAGAGAAGGGTAACAGTTTGAAAGATGGGGTGGGTTGTCAAAGCAATTTAAAGGTCGCCTTTACAGGGAGCTTGGTGGTGGGTTTTCAGGGTGGGCGGCGCCACTGCGTGAATAGCGCAACCCCCTGAGCAACAACCCAACCGCCCGGAAACCTTGCAAAAGTTTGGATGACGCTCTGGCTGGCTGGTTGGCGCGGACAGATCGGACGCCGTCCGAAAACAGCCTGGCCGCGATGGTGCCACGGGATGAATGGGGGGCCGATAGGGCGCTCTTTAGGCCCAAAGATGTCGCAAACAGCACTGCCCGGACAGCACTAATGAAATGTCCTGGAAGAGAGATTGCATGTCAGCCCAAAGCTCAGCAAACCGGAAAACGGGAAACAAGATGCGCCCGCTCGCTGTTCGTCCGGACATCAAGAGCATCGCGGGCTCAGCTGTCCATTATAGCAAATCATGAGCCCTCATCACGCGGCATGACGGACGCGGAACTTTCTGATGGGCTGTGGAACGCCCTAAAGTCCGCATCCGATCTCGCCGGTCATGTCGCTTTGTGGCATAGGGATGGCTGGTTGGGAGATCTGTCAGGTGTCTCTGTTGGCTCAGCAACGGCAGTAGTGTACATCTTCATTCTCGAACGCTGTGCGTCCGGCCACACGGGCGTAGGCCTGGAGTAATGACGACAGTGAAGCAGGTACCTACCTAGAAATAGAATAGGGATTAGAACCTGCCGTGGTGGGGTTTGCGATCCCCAAGACGCTAAGTCCGACCGCGGGAATATCCCTGTGATGTGGCCGCTAAAAGCCGTCTTCTTACAAAGCTCCCGTCGACGAGTTTCCCAACAACAAAATGCGAAACAGAGAAATATCAAAATGAAATCTGAGCCAGAGAAGTAGAGGGACGGGAGACTTTGTCTTTAAAAAGACCACTCAGAGGCCAATAAAGTCGGAGTGATAAGACTTTCCCGAAATGGAAGGAACACGGCAGTGGCTCCTTTTTTTCACACCTGGAAGTTGAAGGAAGTTTCGATGCTCTCCAGATCGCGATGAGAATCGCAACAGCTTCTCTGAGCTCCTTCTACATCCCCACATTGTGGATCCGACAACCTATAAAGTAAGCGCTTTGGATGATGTGTAGTGATAGAGATGCATATCGCATGCAACTTCAAACTTTATCCGGTTGTAGTTACGAATCAGGATGGCCATGGCGTGAGATAACTTCGTTGGCGTTCAGTGGGAGCTTCTCAGGCAGATCGAGATAAGGTTTTGGTGGTTTCAAGGAGAGAAAAGCAGAACCTCCAACATCACTGTAACTACCAACCGCCAAGAACATCCATTGAGATATCGCGGAAACTCCCGTCTTGAATATCTCTCCCGCTTGAACGAAAAAAAGCTCCATGAACAAACATCCCAAGCATCCCAAAATCTTCATCATATCGACAGACCAACCTGTCCGAGAAATAATGTCTACATGTCACAATCCCATCCCTATCTATCATGCCCTTGTTCCCTCAAGAGACCACCACTTTTTCATCACCAAGCTCCATTCATACCACTGTCGTAGGCCCTTCCTTACCCTGTTTCTTCTTCCCTTTCGTCGACAACCTCGGCCAATAGGCCCAAATAAACACCACCGCCAAGATCTGCAGCAAGAACGCATTCACGTGCATCTTGAAGTTCTTCAACTGTCCTCCTCTCTTCGACCCTGACCCTACTTGCTCTTCCTCCTTCTCTGACCACCTCTCGCAAACCTCCAAGAACAGCTTCGGGTCATCAGTAATGACTCCGTCCACGCCCTTACGAATGCCCCATTCCATCCATCGCTCCTCGTTGACGGTCCAGATATAGAGCTTCCGTTGCGCCTTGCGGATCTTGCTGATGAAACGGGCGCCGATGGGACCGACGAGCATGTGCTGCATGAGGTTGAAGTCCACATCGGAGTGGACTTCGGAGAGGAAGCGGGAGGCGTAAGGGAGGGAGAAGCCGATGTAGGCGAAGCGGTAGGAGGGGAAGTAGGTTTTGGCCACGTTGATGTAGTTTTCCTTTTTGATTTGGTCATGGTAAGCATGTTGAGTGCAAAAGATTCATAGTGAGTGAAGGGGAAACGTACATTCCAGCAACCGAGGACTACTCTCTCGTTCCAGGCTCGTGTCGTTGGCACAACTTCGATAGTTTTGGCCGTTGTGCTCAGTAAGACGTCCGGGTCATCGTCGATCTGGAAGTATAATAATCAGCATTGGGCATCATTGCCGCTTACGTTGAGGAGAGGGCAGTCAAACTCACTTTGATATCCAACAACACCCATACCGATTCTAGCCCAGGTTGCCCTAGATACTCAAGCAGATCTTGCAACCTCGGGATGGATTGCTGTGGCTCCCTGAGTGTCTTCAGCGTACTCAAGTAGCTCCAGTCACATTCGGAGACCTTTTTGTCTACGCCAAAACACCGTTTAAGGGACGGATCCTGTTGGACACATGTTAGTCAACACAGCTACGCTTATGAATGATGTTCTGAGGATGTTGGTGGGAAAAAAAGAAAGAAGAAGGATGAATAAGAGGACAACAGAAAACATACATGTACAAGCACAACAATCCCATCTTTTGTCAAGTGTAAATCTGTCTCGATCGCATGCGCACCAATGTCCACAGCTCCTTGGAAAGCTCCCATGGAGTTTTCCGGGAACATGGCTTTGTACCCACGATGCGCGATCGCTTGAGGAAACCGTGGCCCTGGTTTCTGTCCATTGCCGTTCGATGTACTGGTGTTTGACCCGGAAGTAGAAGGCGTGCGAGCGAGATAATCTGAACGGGTGATATAAAAGGTGGTTAGCTTCGGGGTGTAGAAACGGTTGCTGAAGATAGTTTGGTGAGATGTTACCTGTTGTCTGTTGTGGGGCTTCTTCCCCTGAATACGTCTGTACTTGAGACATGCCTGGCGGTTTGAGCTTTCAAGTCCGTTTCCTTCTTCGACTAGGAACGCTCGCTACGAATTTTTGAACAGGTTCAGGCTTTACAATATGGCTTCACTAAAGCTCAATCGTGAAATGACAGTTTGAATGCCAACAGTAAGGGGTTCAAAGGTAAGATGTGGTGGAAGGCTACCCCAGGAGAGAGATCTGCCCTGAGTGGTCTCATTGTTCACAGCCACTTGCTATTCATAGCGGCAGGCAGGCAAACGGCACTCGTCGCCCGGCACGCCTGGATCGACCCCTACACTAAGAAGCTTGGAATGGTGATCTTCGAAATGCTCAGGAACTAAGGGTTGAATCTCAAACGCGACCTGGACAGTTCATCGGAAACTCGACCACTGAGGTGCTGGAATTGCTGTTGATTAGTAAAGTGATATGAGATGGTTAGTCTGCCCTTTGTTGTCCGCATGGGCCCTCTCAGGACTGGTAGTGTTGTGAGCCATCAAGGTTCAATTCCCTAGGCTCGAACATGACCCTGCAGGTCTTCGGCCATCAAGGGTTTGACCCGGGCCGTTCCTGACCGTCTTCCGAACGTTCGGTCAGTTGCCAGCGTACCTGTTCCAGACCCGGCGCCGCTCACGGACAGGAACTGCGTGTGCGTGCAAAGTGGAAGGGACATTGCGTCCGCAGGTTGTTCCCGACCGCACTTCCCCCACTATCGGTGTACCACCTATTGTGTCTTTCGGGATTTGGACCAGAACAGAGTGAACCGTCGTGTGTCGGGTTCGATTTCGGATTTGATCCCGATCACATAGCAAGTCCAGTATTTCATACGTCTTATTGACCCTCCAAAGCACCCGGAATTGCTTCCTCGCAAAAGATGAGGTCCACTTCAGGCGGCAAGTGCATTCGGGTTTCCAATTTCAGCAATGCGTGGAGCCACCTGTTAAAAGCGGCATCAGGGGAAGCGGCTTCCACTAATGACATCACGCCGTGGAGTCTGTCCATCCAGGTGCTCCAGCCCCTCTTTGAACCCCGTCGTTGACACCTTCCACACTGCAAGCCCGCTTTGTCATTCCCGTTTCCACTCCATTGCAAAAGTTCTCCATGCGACACAGTGAGAACAAAACGTAAACAAACTTGAACCCCGATTTGTGCGGACACCGTAGGTGCGAACCTTGAGAGCTGACAGAAACCAGTAATGTAGTATCCATCTTCGAGCTCCAGAGCTCCTCACCTCCTTATCTCTAGTCTCCACCTGTCACTGAGTCGCGGAAGCCTGAAACATGACAACCCATGAGAAGGCTATTCCCGGCAACGGCGGCGAGCGAGGATGGATACGCATCATAAACAATCGGACCCATATTGCTGTCGGGGTGCTAGTATTCGGTGACAGACCGCACTCCGTGATTATTACGGCTGTACGGTCACTACGGTGAGGATTGAGTGATCCACTTCTACTCCGCAGCCCGCTGTCCAGCGCAGCGGCTTGTTGTAAACTCCGCCGGTCCCGGCGATCAAAAGGCTTGTTTCTTCTGATGTGGATGTTCAGGGGCTTCGAGGCCAGGCGAGGCGAGGCGGCAAGCGAGGACAGCTTCTTCTGTCTGGACTTCGTACACTACACTACCTTTCCCGCTGTTGCCTCGACTCCTTAGGTAGTGTGTAGGTTAGAAGGTAGCGTGGTTGTGGTCCTTGAACTTGGTCAGAGGGAGGTCGTGACTACGTTACAAACAGTTGTTGTGAAACTTGCCTACCGGCACCTATCGTGATAAACAGGCTGGATATAAGAAAGAAGGACTCGGTATCGAAACCCGTCGGTACGCCTGTCCCGTCCCCGAAACTGTGAGAGTACTTCATATTCAGGCTAAAAGCCCGCGCGCGCATCAGAACGCATTACCCGCCTTCTAGGGTAGTCTGCACACGTGGGAAACGGGCGGGAAGAATGGGACGGTAGTACGCTGCGCATCAGATCAGATGGGTTGTAGCAGGTACCCGAGACTACCCGGGGTCTTTTGTGCCGTGGTATGTAACGTCCTTCTCCATGTGAAAACCTCGGCGAACGACCAGAAGCAAGGCCTCGAACGGATACGATGGGGTTCAAATGTCACGTTGACCGTGTCTATCTATGATGCTTTTCGCTTCCCTCCGAGCATCATATGAAGCATCCCGTCCTATGGCTAAAGCAGCTGCATAAAGAAGCAGTGGGACAGAAACTCACGATACGCTTTCCACAAGGTCACATCCATGAACTTGAAACCTTATGATAACGATGACTTTTTGCTTACTCGCTATCTCCCGTCTGCTACAGGCTCACTGCTACACCCGCGACTGCTGTTGAATACTGTCGTCCGCCTGTCTGTCTTCAGTTGATCCTCTCCCAATCATGAAACCCGGCAAATTTAGAGCACCCCAGAAACTCCCACCTCAAGCTTCCTGTCGACATATCCAGATGGCAGAAATAGTTTTCCCGGCCTGTACCCCGTCATAACCCAAAAAAGGAAAAAAAAATCGTGAGAACCCGCACCCATCAAATGCCAGAAAAAATTCCAATGACCTCTATCTCGTTATAGTCCATACCCGTGTAGTCCATCCAAAAGAAAATTGTTTGTGCCCGCCGAGTTCACGGGCAGTAGTGTGTTGCGATAATCCACATTTCCGTTATTCAGACCCATGTCGCCGCCGGGCGTGAGATCATCGCAAGAGGAGATACTTTCCTCACTCAAACTGAGAACACTTTGTGCCGTTGGAGCGCCTTGGACAAAGTCACCTAGATTGAATGAAGACATATCCCATGGATCTTGCCCCCATGTCGTGGCCGACGTTGGTGTAGCAGACGAAGGCGTCTCCAAGGGTGCCAAAGCTGGGCCCCCGTAAATCGCAGTATAGAGACTGACCGGTCCACCGTCCAACGATCTTACCAGCGCCTCCCACTCAGCTGTCGACATGCCTGCTGACGTCTTCTGCGGGTACATTTGGCCTTGCTGAGAGTGAGAAGATGCCGTGGAAGAACGTTGTTGTTGCTGCTGTTGCTGTTGTTGCTGTTGTTGCTGTTGTTGCTGCTGCTGCTGCTGCTCACGGGACGCTGCATTTGTTGCTGCTGCTGCTGCTGCTGCTGGGGCTGATGCGGTTGACTGCGCATCTGCACCGGGGAAACGGGCGACTGAGGTGAGCTTAGTGAGAGATAATCCAAGTTTGGCTTCGCCTGTGTGCCAGTTGATGTACGTCCCATAAGCGTGACTTGGGCGACTTGAGCTTGACTTAAAGAGTGACGATGATGAGGTCGCACTTGTTGCGCATCTTGTCGTAAGTTATCGAATGACGTCTGAGAACGGGCGCGGTAAAGCTCGTTCCTGTGCTGCTGTTGAAGTTGCTGATGTTGTTGTTGTTGGTGCATAGTCATCGCGAGTAGCTTGTCCCGCTGCATGATAAGGTCCGTTTCGCTCAAGCTAGCGCTATGGTGACGGCCAAGGGTTGGCTGAGCGCTACGATCAACAGTTGAAGGTGAAGGGGACCCTTGCTGCGCCGGTGGGGTGGGCATACAAGCCTCCGGGCTCTGTCTAGGGGGTGTCGGCAAAGACTGGGGAAGAGATTCCTCGACGGTAACCAGCATTCCAGCGACCCTCTTGAAATCATAGGATCCCGGAGCGTTCACCTTGGTGACGATCTTGATAACAGCGTTGACCAGTCTTTCGTTATCCTTCAACACTTTGCTGTCGTGCTTGAGTCCCAGTGTCTGATACAGCAATGCCATACCGCAGACAATCAAAATGTCCGCCTTGTTGAGGCAGAAAGAGAAGGACATGGATCTCTCTTCCAGCAGTTGGACAATTTGCACAATGCTCTTGCTGGATTCGGCAACAGACATGAGTGCAGGAGCAGCCTTCGGGCCCAGGCTAGATGCAATAGCCGGCCGATAGATGAGGATTCGAGTGTAATAGTAGGCAAGGGCAAGGAGAGGAGACCTGCTACCTGTCACATCGGTCGAGGGCTTATCCTGCTTGAAGTTGAGCTTCAAGTGCTGCGGTAGGTTTTCAAACCACTCGGTGAGCTCCCCATCAAGCGAAGACATCTGCTGTAGTGAGAGCTCGTACGAAGTGGCAGCCGGGTAGATCTTCTCAAGGACCTTGCCCAGGATCCGGGATCCCCGGAACAAGGCAAGTGCGCTAGAGATCCTGGTGGGTTCGCCAGGAAGGCTTGGTTGGAAGCCCTTCTCGGTCACATATTCGTCGTCGGTGTCTGATGGGAACTCGGCATAGACGTCTTCATCCTTGAGAAGCTTCGGGAGACCAAGGATAGCGGCAGAAAAGCTGCGTCTGTTAGCAATTGCCAATGTCTCGTGTGAGTGAGTGCACTTACCAGTCGAGTGTGTACAGAGTCCAGAACACCTTCTTTCGTGTCTCGATAGTCAGAGCACCGAAGGAGAAGCGCTTCTGGCTCTGATGTAAACCCAGGCGATGAGAAAGTCCCACAGCAATGCCCTTGTAGTATTGTAACCGCTTGTAATCGGCTCGGACGGTGCAGTACATCAAAGCAAGGATGAGGCATTGGAGAGTGAGCATGGTGTTATCCATCAAGATGGCCTCCAAAGACTTGTGCCATTGTGTCTCGCAAGCGGCCAACTGTTGGAAGTCAGGCTGCTCACTAGACAGGCCGGCAATGCTAAAGACCAAGTAGAGCTGCGTGAGCTTGTGGTTGTTCTTGATCTTTTCAGGGTCCGCGACAAATTCCTCGTAGACACGAAGAAAAGCTGGCTTGTGGAGAACCGGAAACATGGGCGCCCATTCTTGAAAGTAAACATTCACACAGCGATCAGAAAACAGCCTAGGCGGTATCCTCATGCTCTGAGGGGACACCTTTGTCGAAAGAGGATAACATCCCTGGATGTGCAAGAAGGCCTCTGGGTTGAAGTCGGTGCATGACTTGCCGTTCTCTTGGATTTTGCGCTTGAATGTTTCTGATTATGGGGTCAGTTACCAAGAACGCGGATCTCTCGGGGACTGCTGGGGAAAAGACAAACCAATAAAAGAGCGGCCACTGGAGGCGCCCATGAAGTAGGAGTCCGAATTCTCGACACCTAGCAACAAGGGCGATGCTTGGACGCGGAATGTGTTCTCTTTTGCCGGTATCCCGGAATCCTTCTTTATCTCTGCTGCCGGAGTGCTTCGCGGTGATTCGGCAGGCCGGGCACGATTGCTGTGCATCTTGGAGAGCATATCGAGCTTCTCGTCCTTCTCGTCCAGCAAATCCTTGAGTTCCCGGACTTCCGCCTCCAACGCTCGTACTCGCTCCTCAAGCGACTCTGTGTAGCCCCTGGGAAAAGCGCGCCTGCTGAGCTTGTCGCTTGTCTTGCACTCGAACCCGACATTGGCGCATTGTGAACAACATGGCCTAATTCCGTCACAGCGGATCTTTTTGCTGCGGCAGCGGTCACAAGCCTGGGCGATGCGACTTTGTGAGCTGTTGCCCACCTTGATAACTTTCATGGGTAGAATGCCGGGCATTTTGAGCGTCTTCCACGCGGCCGGGAGAATCCCCTGCCTGTCGATATTCGATAATGCCGGTAGAACAAAGTAGTGGGTGAAAATAGGCGAGTGCTTGTGTCGAAGGACGTAACCAAGGGTTGTCGATACAGCACCAACTCGTAAAATAAAATGCGTCTAAAATCGTCACAAGACCCAATGTCGGAAGTTGATATGGCCTAGAGAGTAGTTGAAGATGAGTGGTTGTTGGTGTTGCTGATATGAGCAGTTCGCTGCTGGTGTCTGTTGTTCACGTTGATTTTGCCGTAATCCACAGTGAATCGAGGTCGGGGGGGTAGAAGGATGTTGTGGTGATGATTGTGGTAATGATGGTGTAAGTCAAGAGGCCAAGGGTGAAGAAACTTAAAAAGACAAAAGCAAGCCAAGAACCCTAAATCCTTCAAAAGTCGAGTCGGTCCAGTGAAAGGGGGGATTTGGAGAGCACGACAGGCGGGGCGGCGTGATTTAAGGATGAATTCCGTGGGAAGGAACATACGGGGTCACTGGTGTGTTGCTGTGAGCCAAGAGAGACCAGGGGACAGGACTGGCTAGCGGGCCAGCAAGCAGCGTAGCACTGCGTGGCAGCGAGGCAGCGAGGGCGCGAGGGTTGATGCCCGCTGAGGAAAAGCGGGCGGGAAGGAGTCCCTGGTCGTCTGTACTTGCGTAGCTGGTACCGCTACCTCTTGGTGATCGGTGAGGAAGGAGTCACCTCAACACTTCCGTTGTAACGTACCCAATACCTACTCACCACTCAACCCACTGAAAGATCTCATAACTCTGCACAGCAACCTACCGACATCGCACTACCGTACACTTACGAAGATCCTCTAAAGTTGGAACCTCGACGGCAAGAACAGGGATGTACGCCAAAAGCAGGACACTATCGTCAGTGACAGCACCTTGACGCTTGGGCTGTTGCCTCGACGCCGTATTCCTGCTAAGCCTCCGAAGATCAACAGAGATTCCCAGTGTGAGGTGGACAAGGCAACGGACGGTGTGCAAGTGAGGAAGACTAGCGATTGGGGCATGCCTATCTGAGCACCTTGACCCTGCTTACCTTTGCGTTTATCGACTCCATTTGATTGCCATCCCCTGGCCAAAGAAGAATCTGGGGTGAGCAGGGATCTACTCGTCAAATCCAACACCAGATTCGCCAATCATCATGGCCTTTGTGAGCGAGAATCCACCGTCCACTATCCCCATCTCCCGGCCCAGCCGACGAATCGCAGCTCTCTCGTAGCGGTCGCGAGGGGCCCCCGGCCCCTTTTTCTAGCACACCTCCACAACCTCCACCAGGCTTCACAAAGAGGGTTGTGGTCGGATTTCAAGCGAAATCCGGGGCTTCCCGGCGCCTCCTGGCGTGAATGGGACCACAGGGCAACCACCAAGGGACGCCATCCTTTTCAGTGTTTGTTGGGACGGCGACGTGCGAGGGCTGGCAAGAGTTTTTTGATGGCATCATGGCTGGCCTAGAACCCCCGTTGTCTCAGCTGCATGGATCGTCAGGTCATGGCAGCCAACTGGCCAATGGTGAGAACACTGGCCTGCTTACGACCTGGAGACTAGCGAGGCCAGGTTCAAGATCCTCCCGATCGGGCTGGGCACCAAGCTGTTTTGCTTACCAGACCCTGAGCAAAATTAAAGCTGCACCGTCATACGGCCTCTGCTGCGATACTACGGGACGATACCCTTCATGGTTAGGACTCTCAGGAACAGGACGGGACCTCGCCAAACCCGCCAAACAGCCTCCTCCTTGGATTGAGGTTACGGTCGAGAACCCGTTGTGTGCAGGGCACCGATGGCTCGGGTTGGGGATACCTCACTTCGAGGTCAAGCGAGACTTCGTTCAGGTCCGCGTGACGCTGAATGGGGGCATTGAAACATTCTAAGAGACATGGAAGTCCTCGTTGATAGGATCAGGGCAAACCATGAGTCCAGTATCATGTTACTGTTATGGTTGTGTCTTGGGATCAACAATCCTCTTCTCCTTGGACAGTCAAGGGTTGTGTGGTTTGGCAAAAATGACTGAGTGTCGAAACAACGACATTACGGACTAGGCGGCCAACTAACAGGTAGTTGCATATACGTTGTCTTGGGTGTCGATATATGCGGCGGAAGAGGCGCGTATTGAGCATCCAAAAGGGAGAGTTTCGGATCGGCTCCGGGACGTTGAACGGTTTCCACACCGTAACCCTACCCAGAACCTTATTATTCGGGGCTCATTGGCGGCCATACGAAACACGAAGCCTCTTTGCTTCAGAAAATGTCGACATCAGAAAGCCAAAGGTACGGTGTACAGCGGAAACGACGAAGAGAGACACATTTCCGCCTACTGGAGATGTAAACAACCTACCTACTCCACTAAAAGGGGGTCGCTGACGACGACGTGGACGTTTTGCGATCAAGGCAAAACTGCCCAGGGCTGGTCCACCGGTGGATCGTCGCAGTGTGTTGGGTCAACTAACAGGGTCGTTGAGACACACACAAATCATAACGGAAACCAAAGAAATTCGGTGAGCAATAACTATGGTTAAAAAGATGGAGAAAAATGCCCGATCATCAATAGCCACCGGTCTGCGTGGTGGTGTTGCCTTCGCTCTTATGATAAGACGCGAGCGGTGATGCATTAGGGGATATGTACTCTGTATGGCTGCCGCAGTCGCACACACACGAACTTCCAAAAGATAAAAGCAGTGCACTGCAGTGGGATGGAGTCGGCCGCCTCCACACAGTAAAAGAGACCCAACCCCAAACGGCCCGCAGAACCGAATGATTCCATTCCTTGATTGGTTGAAATCTGCCAGACATGTTCCACAAACCTTCTCTTTGCAACACCGAATCTGGAGTTGGTCTTCCCCGCATTTTGGTTGAGCAATGCCAAGAACTCCTAGCGATGGATTCCTCTGCTTTTCGCTCTCGATCGGGCATTATCACCACTTTTGATGAGTCGGACTCGGGCAAATTCAAGCGAAGGCTATGAACCTCGAAGAAGTGAGTGAGAGAGTCCGCGGCATAGTAAGCTAAATCTCGACAAACATATCCCTTCTGTGCTTGTCTATACGGCGCCCGCATTCCCCGGCATGACGGAAACTCCGAACCAAAGATCTCACAGCAAAGACAGTGAAAAAAAATCCTACGAACATCACCGCCCAGTCAGCGCAGCCATATCACTGGCCGCAGCCCCGGTAACATATCAAGCCACTCTCCCACTCATCGCCGAAATGCGGGGCGATATGGGATTGTGTGATGCTCCCAAGCCCTCTGGGCGGAACCAATTTGGCTGACCGGACATGGAAAAAGCTGGTTCAACAACATGCATCGACATGAAACTCGTGGTCATCCTGCGCCAGGAGCATACACTACACTACAACTGGCGTGTAGGGTTGGGGACAACCATGTCCTAAATCGCCTCATGTTCGTTTTCGCACTTTCTAGTGGCTTCCCAAAGGACAAGATCGGCCTCAACTCCGCAACTCTCCCCAGCTTTCAGCCTTGTCGCCGCAGTAGTCTCGGTAGTTTGATTAATGCCTAGTTTCCTTCATCATTGATGGGAGGAAACGATTTCTTTTGAGCTTGTAAAGCTTCTGTACATGTACACCCAGAGTATCATTCACGCATACAAACCGAACAGTACCAAAACAAAGTCCCAGGAAAAAACCTCAGTGAAGAAACTTCCAGACGCTTGGATCAGAGAAGCATCACGATGTGTTGCAGCCTCCTTTTCAAAATGTGTGGTTCATCAACTGAAATCCTCAGGCTCATTGGACGCCTCCTCGCCAACTAGGTCGGATTCGACAGTTTCCATCGATCCGAGATATGCCACCACGTTTTCATCAGCCAGTAGCATGCGCCTCTGAATATCTTGTCAATTATTGTGAGGGGGAGACCCGGGGAGTTTGCGGGGGTGGATTCTCACCTCTTTCTCCAAATATTCTATGACGACTTCTAGAAGACCGGTTTCGATACTCCTGAGAAGAGACGCAGCCTGCTGACATTCGTCCCTCAACAAGCCAACGTCGCCGGTGGGGAGTGAAGAGAGATCCGCAAAGGACTGCGCTCTCTCAAGCTGTTGCTGTAACCGCTCCTGAACCACAGTGACGACGCGTAACTTGATAAGCGTAGGCACTTCATGACTTTCAGTAAGGGTTTCAAAGTCCCCTATCCGGTCTGTGACGTCCTCCTCTCGCCAGAACACACGGAGCTGTCGGCCACCCTCGCTATCCTGCAGCACCCGGAAATCCAGGCCGTCCTCCTCATTCACACACATGAGGTAGGCGAACGGGCTGTCCCATGACACGGCAGAGCTACCCTTGTCGTGAGCCACGTGGACTTTAGGCAGGTCCTTAAACGCGAAGAGCTTGGCCTTTTCCAACGGGTCATCCCCAAATGGCTCCAGCGGGAGCACGAGGCTCTCGACGGTTGTTTCTGGATCGATGAACCCGTAGCTGAACAGCATCTCTGCGGCCGGCTTGGCATCGCCATAGCTGATGGTCACCTCCTTGCCAGACGAGATCGTTCTATCTGGTCTAGGCAAGAGTATTACCTCATCCTTGGTATTTTCATCATAGTAAGCCGACGCACAGGTCGAGTGGTTGATCATGTCTATGCATGGCACCATCGACTCCCCCGACTTCGGTAACTCGAGGACTCGAGACCGGTAAAGTGCATCCAGAAGAATCCAATTACGTAGAGATGCCGGAGAATTGCCGTTCTCAAAGGGCCACAACACGTCGTTCCAGGTTGGGAGGCTAGATGCGGCCTCCCGGACCGCATCAAACTCGGCAGTGAGGGCCGTCATCTTCGCATTCACAGCCGACTCGAGAGATGTGCCTCGGAGGAGTAGTCGCTCATCTTCCGTCCACAGTGTGGGCACCAGAACCGTTTTGGGTAGGAACTTGATGTACTCTGTCCACGGGTTCGAGACGCCTACTGGAGCTTGATGTGCCTTAGACGCCAGCACCAACTGGACGAGCAGGAACAACAAGATATCCCTTCTGGCTGACTGTTTGTGTGGAAAGATAACGTCAGCTAGTGTCTTCCAGAGAATGTCTATGGGGAAGGTCGGAAGTTCCCGGATATAAAGGGGGATGGGGGTTGATTTGTAGCAGTTCGCCCATACATGATGTCCAACAGCATCCAAGAGTTGCTTGAAGTTCTTGTCTTCTTTGGCGTATTCATCCACAGCCTTGACGTTCAGAACGAGCGTGTTCGGCACTGTCATGAGAGGAACCTCAGGCTTGAGCTCTCCATCGCTTACCACACCAAAGCCTTTCCCTTCGATGTTGGCGACTTTGACATGTGGGAATGTGATGCCGTTGAGCAAAGCCCAAGCGGGCAGGGCCTCAATTGGGAGCCCGGGTTGTGCCATATTTCGAAGAAGACCGCTTGCTGTACGGGCAGAATAATTATGCCTTCCAACCTCCTTGACAAGTAGGATAAGTGAGGGTCACAGTTTGTTTGACCTCGATCTACGAATCCAATCGTGCATGAAACTGAATGCGAAGGTGAATCCGCACCGACAGAAGTAACTGCAGTATTAGACAGCACCCCGGTCGTAACGATGGTGTAAAATGGAGTAATTCCGTGTACGGCGTTGAAAGATAACACCCTAAGACGCCCAGTCCGCAGCTTCCCGTTGTTCGCAACTGCCTCCTATGAGTACCTCTATTCACACTCACATTTGGTGCCCGGTCCTGGCTTCATGTTATGATCTCCGATTACTCCTTTTCCTTCAAAGTTGCAACTAGTAAAACCATCCCAGCTTCCTCGGAATGAGTGTTGCGACAATCATTTCGTCGAGTCGCCCCCTTGGCATTGCCCTGGCAACGGCTTACTGTCCAAACAAGACCACTGTGACTCTGCGTTTTAGTGGGAAGGGACTGCCCCTCCCGTCTTGCGCGGCGGGGGCAATCGCATCTCTATTTGGTGGGGCTGATAACGAATTTCAATTCACCCTCCCCAATTCCATGCTGCTGCTGCTGCTGCTGGTTGGAATTGCACAGTCGCTACAACACCAGAACAGAGCGCGATTGTCGAGGTCTTTCGTTGCCTTAGCAAATATCTTCTAGACGCAACATCTTCTCGAATACCGCCTACAGTATCCTCAACCATCATACATCTTGATCATCGCCAACCGAACCAGAACCGACCTTCAAAATGCCTCGAGATCCTCTTATTGGACTGGTCGGGAAACCAAGCGCTGGCAAATCTAGCACGCTTAACTCGCTAACAGATGCTTCGTCCAAAGTCGGTAGGTAGTTCCTAGGTAGTTCTTGTTTACGAGGACATCTGCCTCGCCTTCTCTTCTCTCCGACACTTCTGCTGCGGAGATGGGGGCTTTGCCTTGTGTACGGACGGGCTGCTGATACGGCTTGCCACGCGATACAGGAAATTTCCCGTAGGCTTCTTCCCGTCACCTCTGCCCATACTTTCTAGGTGCCTATATACTTGACAACCCTGTCCTGTTTCTCACTTCTTCCGCCCTCTCTTTCCTGCCATCGTCCACGAACACAATCGCAAGCAGACCCAAAGGATGTTGCGCTAACAACAGTGCCTCTTCCGCTACCACAGTTTCACCACCATTGACCCCCAACGAGCGATCGGCTACCTCCAAATAGACTGCGCCTGCGCGCGCTACGGGGTTAGCGATAGGTGCAAGCCCAACTACGGTTCCTGCGTGAACGGCAAGCGCAGTGTCCCCATCGAACTTCTCGACGTAGCCGGTCTCGTCCCCGGAGCGCACGAGGGCAAAGGACTGGGCAACAAGTTCCTTGACGATTTGCGACACGCCGACGCCCTGATACACGTCGTTGACGCTTCGGGTACAACAGACGCCGAGGGAAAGGTGACGCGTGGGTACGATCCCTCCGTGGACATTGCATGGCTGCGGTCCGAGATCGTGGCCTGGATCAAGGGAAACCTTTGGAACAAATGGGGTTCCATCAAGAGGAGGCATATTGCTGTCAAGGCGACAGCGGTCGAGACACTCCAGGGACAGTTCAGTGGTTACGGCAGTACCGCTGCGGTGGTGGCGCGGACGCTGGATAAGCTGGGGCTCAAGGAGCCGTTGGAGGAATGGACTGGTACGTTTGTGATTCTGCTTTTAGACATCCGGGCGGATTTCACCAGCACGATTGCGGTGGCATGGCGCTAATATTGATTTCCGGTACGCAGAGGAAACCGTCGACCGTGTCGTCGAAGCCTTCACCGACGAGAAGTTCCCAACAGTGATCGCACTCAACAAAATCGACCACCCAGACGCCGACAAGAACATCGCCAAGATCGCCAAGATGCAAGACCCAAACTCCATCGTTCTCTGTTCTGCGATTTCCGAAATCTTCTTGCGCAAGATGGCGAAGCAAGGCTATGTCAAGTACACAGAAGGCAGCGAGTTCGTTGACACGAGGGAAGACCTAATAGCCGACGGTGATCCAGACGGCGGAGGCCTGAAAGAGCTGGACGAGAAGAACAAGAACAGGATAGAGAACCTGAAAGACATGGTTCTTTACCGATTCGGCTCCACTGGCGTTAACCAAGTGTTGACCAAAGCCGCCGAGGTCCTCGGCTTGGTGCCGGTCTTCCCTGTCAGGAATACGACGACGTTTACGTCGGGCGCGAATGAGTCGGCGAACAAAGCGGTCTTCAGGGACTGCGTGCTGGTCAAGAAGAACTCAACTGTGGCCGACGTGGCCAGGAAGATCATGGGCGATGCGCCGATTGCCTACGTCGAAGGTGCGGGGGGCATCCGTGTTGCCGAAGATCAAATTGTTACAGTTGGCAAGAATGATGTAAGTCCTGCCTGGTATGATAGCAGAAGATTGTCTTTACTAACTTGCACACAGATCTTGTCATTCAGGGTTGGCCGAGCATAAGCAGCATAGACAGGAAACTCGCCCGGCCTAGTATTCCCTTCAATCCAGCTGCTTCCGTTGCTATTGCCTGCTTCAACCTACGGCATCTTCCAGTCTTCTCCTTTTCGGCCCACGTCTTACCACCGTCTCATAATACAGCGATTTGGCAGCATTGTAGTTGAGTTAAAAGGCAATGCGTAAAGTTATCACATAGAGCGAGCAGGAAGAAGCGCCTGGGGCGATTGTCAAGGAAGCCTTTATCCTACGATATGCCTCCAACTAAATCCCTTGAACCTGCCAGCGTCGTAGCTTCTTTCTCGAGTCGCCAGCTTAAAAAAAGGAGAAAGACCCAAATGGTCAGTATGAGAGCGATAAGACATCTGCTCATCAGATGAGATGCATGCGTTCATGTGGTCATTAAAAGCCCGTTAACCCTTCAAGCTTTCTCTCCTTCCATTACATAAAAAGACCGATCGTTCCAACCCACGTTCTCGTAAGCCCTTTCGAGGATCTTCCTAAGCTCCTCCCATCGCAATTAAACTCATCTCCTCCTCTCCCACTTTATAAGCTTTTCCTCATGCTCTGCAACAAAATGTGTGCCGAAACGTCCGTCCGCGTAATCCCCCCCCAGGGCGCAGCCCGTAGTTTCGACAAGGGGTATCATAAGGCGAAAACAAGCGCCGGAACCGCCGGGAAGAGAGGAATCAACCTATCCATGGATGTCCATACATGGATCCATCCTTGGCCCCCGACGTAACTTCTTTTCCTTCCCTTCTCTTTCTCATTCAATGAAAAAGAAAAGACAATTTTGTTGGTGTTTCTTGTTTGTCGTCATGTCGCTGCTCATCTAATACTTGAGAATGATGTAGAGAGCGTGGACGATGCCAGGAATGTACTGTAAGCAGCTTAGTTAGCAAGAGGTTCCGTCGTGTGCGACAGGTAACAGAAGGAAAACGAGGAACGGGGAAAGCTTACACCCAGGATGGTGAGGAGGATGTTGATGAAGAGATCGGCACCGCATCCACGCTCGAAGAAAACTCCGAGAGGAGGGAGGATGATGGCAACGATGATCTTGCAGATGTCGCTGGAGAACAGAGCAGAGGTGTTAGTACCTAAAGTTGAACTCAAAACCAGAGATGGCGCACGCTGCGTCAAGCGGGCGGGAACAGGTAGGTCTTACCTAGCGGTGAAAGCCATTGTGATGGATTAATGTTGTAAGGTATTAGAGATTTGGTGTGATTATTGTGTAGGTTGAAGAGTTCAGGAGGATTGCTCGAGTGCGAAAATTTGGATGTTGTTCTTTGTTGTTGGGGTGGTTGTTGTTGTTGTTGTTTGCTTGAGTGGACTGACGTAAAGAAGAAGCAAGACAAGCGGGCGGCAAGGAATTATATAGGAATGTACGGGGAGCAGCCGTTACGCCTTGCCAAGATAAATTGTATGTAAACCTGGCGGGGTCCCTTTTACGACTCTTCGTTGCTCTTGCAGGGCAGATGGTCAGGGAACAGGGTGTGCCTGTCTGGTTTTCTCGAGGTGGTGTGGTCCATTTCCTCTCTGCCCAGTCCGTTCCCTTGCTTGGTTTGCTGCTCGGGGCCGTTCGATTCCCTTGTGTCTCGGTTCCTTTCAAGAGCCAAGCGGGTAGGGAGGGAACCTTATGAGGTGATGGTTCAACCTTTCGCAAGCTTCACGCACAAAGCAAGCCATGTTCAAGGCGATTCATACACGCGATTGGAGAAGTCGGCAAGAATGCGTCATACACACCAACCCATACTCCCCGTTACAAATGGCCAAGGTACCTAGGTACTCTGGGAAACTCAGCAACAGCAGTTTGCCGTCTTACTATTATCCAATTTTGTCTACATTCCTCCCTTGAGAAACGAAGAGTTGTACTCGACGGGAACACACCTGAAGGAGGGCCGCCTGATCAGAGTGCTGAGCAATGCTGAACAATGAATGCTGGGATTCGACCCCGGGACTCCGAAGTCCTCACAAGTGATCAAAAATAAACCATCCTAACCCTGCGGGTAATCCCGGCGGAAGAGGACCACAGGGCCTCAAAGCGCTAACTTACACCGCTTTGCGATATCGCGACACCGCAGCTCAGGCACATGTGTGGTCCATCTACAGCTCAGGAACAGCACGGATTTGCAGTGTGTCTTCCCGTCGAACGGGGCTGGGTAGATCGCAAAGCCTCTTTCCATGCCATTGAATGCCTATGACATGACGAACACCCCTACCAGGATGTTTGTTCTGATGATTCCATCCATGTTTTCGAAACAGAGAGTTTTCTCTTTGGAATTAAGGAAACCTAAGGTGGGTAATCAAAGGGTCCTAACAGTGACGTAACCGAAGCCAGGTGAGCCGAACTGCCGTTACAGCCCGTCAGGAGCTTGCCGTCCAGCGCTATCCTCACGCGGCCAAGCGCAACCAAAGCCATCTGCCAAGACCCAGCTACGACTTTCAAACCTGAACCAGGGCTTGTGGTCAAGCCGCCCAGCGAAAGAACAAGCCAGTGACATCACCGGAATCAGCCAAATGTGGCGGGGTATACGCAACAAGTGTGGCGCATTAACCATGAAATGAAGGCTTGGAAGGGCTCAGCTCAGGCGCGGCGGGCTCACGCCGAGAACGATCACCGATTCCACAGCTGTTGATCTTGATTTCACCGTCAACTCCAAGCGAAGCGCAATACAATTTCGGTATCGCCCAGACATTGACGCTGGCAGAAAAGGCTCGGCTTTATACCTGGGCGGCAGGCCAAGCCAGCCAAGCCGGGTACGGCGGAAGTTATACACTATGTGTATGAACATCGGCGTTCTGGGCTTCGGGATGCGAAGAAGTTTGGGCAGTTGGTCGCGTGAGCTTGTCTGTGGATTGTTCGCAACGGACAGGAGATTGGTGATCGAAAGTTCGAAGATTTGAGTGGCCGAAGGTGTGAAACCAAGAAACAATGGCTCCGCAACATAGCGGCCCTGACGATATCACATGTCATTGATTATGCCTGTTGAGGATTTTGCAGGGAGTTGGACGGTACTGGATGTGTTCAAATCAAGAGAATCTATAAGATTGCGATTCTAGCCTGCCGAGGGAAGATAGAGACCCCTTCGTTTGATTTATGAAAAGCATGGTTTGTTGCTGCTGACGACCAACAAAACTCCATAAGCGAGTGCTCGACCTGCGATGTGGACCACTGAAGGGACCAACTGCCACTATGAACGGACAGGTCATCGACAGTTCAGGGAGTTCTCAAGCAGCATTGACCTCGGCAAGCAAAGAACACGTCAAACAGGCCCCCGAATAGCAGGCTGTGCATTCGTCGGTTCTGAATCCGAGAACTGGCACATGCGGGATATGGATGTTCTTGCAAAATCGGAGTTCAATGTGATCGACAGGGCGGGTGGGGATGCCAGCCGGACGACCTTAACGGGCCGGGCGACCCATTTATCACCGATGTGGAGCCCCGTGCGTCCGCCCGCCAAGCCCCGCGTTTGTGCCTGCCGACTGGAGCCCTAAAATTTTGACAAGCCCAGGCCACACATTTTGTCAAAAATTTCCACCCGGCGCGTTGCGACCTCCACTTCACCACTTCCGTCCACCAAATCCTCAGAACCCAACAAAAGGCGCAGGATATCACCTCTTTGCGTCCTTCTTTCGACTTGTCCTTTGTCAACCCACAAGCACATCTCCATCCCCGTCGACGCAATGGCTCCCATCACCGTATGTTCGCCCACATGACCATGGCTTTGCTGTTGGCCCAATCCTCAGAAGCCGATATGGAAGCATCCCTCTTTCATTTTGGTCCTGAGCGACCATGGCGTGAAGCAGTAGGCTAAGTCAAATTGTGTTTTACAGAAGAAGTCTGCCAAGGGCAAGGCCCCCAAGGTCACCAAGAAGTTCGTTATCAACGCTTCTCAGCCCGCCAGCGACAAGATCTTCGACGTCTCTGCCTTCGAGAAGTTCCTCACCGAGAAGATCAAGGTTGAGGGCCGCGTCGGCAACCTCGGCGAGACCATCAAGATCTCCCAGGTCGGCGATGGCAAGATTGAGATCGTTGCCCACAATGAGCTCTCTGGCCGCTACCTCAAGTACCTGTACGTTTTCCCTCGCTTGCGACCACTCGCGATAAGCAGAAACCTCCGTTTGAAACCAAGCAGGCGCTAACCAGTTACTCTTTTGCGAAACAGGACCAAGAAGTTCCTCAAGAAGATGCAGCTCCGTGACTGGCTCCGCGTCGTCTCCACCTCCCGTGGCGTTTACGAGCTCAAGTTCTTCAACGTCGTCAACGACGAGGCTGAGGAGGATGAGGAGTAAATTTGATGACCTACGGGAATCAATGGAGACTTGAGGTTTCTGGCAGGGAATACCATATGATGGACGGGTGTGCATTGTGCTTAGCGGGAAACCGGGGTTCAATGAGCAAATGTCAAGTCGCCTCCTTGTGAGGCATGGCGTTCTGGCCAAAACCAATATCTGTCTCTCCTTCGCGCATGTGAACATGTGGCCTCCGGACATTGCCAATCATTCGTAAATCATCTGTAACGCCTCCGTTCTATGAGTATCTAACCCAAAAGTAAACAGACAAACAAACGCCCATGCGCCATACCCTTCCTGGATATCACCCCGACCCATCCCAATATGCGACGCCGATACTGTTTCCATCTAAGGCAAGGACCTCATAACGCCCTCAAACACCAACAGTGCCATCGCATTCGCCGGGAACGCCCTCAAGAAGCAAGGCAAGAACCCGCGCCAGTATCCCTTCACGCCATTCTCCTTGTAAACCGCGGCCGCGGCGTCCCTCCACCTCGGGAACCTCCTGACGCCATCACCTATCCCTCCTCCCAGGTTATCCGTCATGATCCGCTGCTTGACGACATCGCTCGGGTAGCTGGTCAGCCAAAATACCTGCGCGCTCAACCCGCCCGCCCAGAAGTTGACGGCCGGCGTGCTCATTTTGGTGTGATCCTTCATCCACCTGCTAAACACATCATACGTGCCCCACCAAAAAAAGAAGAAGCTGCGGAACAACATGGTCGCGCCCAAGCCATGATACACGCCCCTGATGCCGTGGTGGGTGTATACCTTCTTCAAACAGTCAATGGGGCCCTTGTACATCCTCTCCTCCTTGCGCGCCGCGTACTGGATCTGCAACCTTGCCTTCACGTGCTCCACCGGCGCCGCGATGAAGCTGACCGTCATGCCCGCCAGGATTCCCGCCAGGCCGTGGCCGTGCGAAGGTAAAGGTCTGGAGGGGTCGTGCAAGGGGTGCCAGGACGGGTTGAAGAGGTTGTCGCGCAGCAACTGGCGGTAGACCGTCAGAGAGCCGAGCATGACGCTGTCCATGAACATCCAGCCGATCAAGGGAGGGCTGGCGCCCTTGTACAGGCCCAGAATGCCTTCGTTGCGGATGGTTTGGGTGACGCATTGGAGCGGGCCGGAGAAGCGGGAGCTGTCTGTGGTTTGGAGGCGGACTTTGATGGTGTCGAAGGGGTGGCCGACTGGGAGAAGAGGAAGGGTTAGTACTGACGTTTTATGATACACAGCAATTCGAGGAAGGGCGAGGTGTGAGGTGTGGTAAACGGTTTCTGTCACTGTTGTATTGTGTCGAAGGATAACGCACCAGTGAGCTTGGCGATGCCCGAGAACACGCCGGCTACGAATCCCTTGTAGTTCGCAACCGCTTTCTGGGCCGCTACCGGCGCCGTAGCAGGGACCGGAGCTTGTTGCGGGTGTTCTTTCAGGTTGGCGTCCATGGTGTCGGCGCCTTCCTTCTACCTCAAGAGGAAGAGATCTAAGTAGTATATTGGTTCTCGCTTTATATCATGAAGGAAGGCGGTGTTGAGATATGGACGTCAAGAACTTCCAATCCCATTAACAGAGGAAGGAGATACCGTGACCGACGACGACGTGGAACGGGCAGGTGAACCTCACTTGATAACCTGTGCCTCTTTCTCTTCAAATTCAGTTTTAGAAAAGGAAAGAAGAAACGGGCCCGTCTTCAAAACAACCTTGACTCGATCGACCGGCACATCGGCCACCAAAATTACGGATCGGACCTCATCGGAGTCGGAAGCTGGTAGCTCTGACTGTCCATCCATCCAGGGGTGTGAGTGTCCCCGCTAAAAAGTTCAAAAGCTGGAGGTGCTGCACTGATGGGGTTGCCCCGTTGATGGTGGGGGTGCAGTAACCGCTATTGCCGTGTACCCGCCCCATGGGCAATGAAGTCTAGCATGTGTAAAGGTCTCATCTTGACCACCTGGCGATCGGGATATAATCCCTAGATGTCTTCAAAAAGGGCTCTCGTTTGAACATGTATCGCGTGTAACCTATCGAGAAGGAAAGAATAGCGCTCCATGATGCTGCCGTGTTAGTGATGTCTCGGATGTGCCGTGATTGGTCGATAGATGGTAGAACAGCTCCTAACATCGGCCTCCAGGGGCATCTTGGGACTCCTTCCGTCATTTGTTAACTTCCACGATCCTGGGATCCTCCATGAGTTTATCCAGAGTCCGCACTAAACATTAACATGCTATCTAGAGTAAGTGTTCCCGAATTATCCTCTTGGTGCCGGGTAACGACGAACCTCCAAGCCCCAAGAATGGTTTCACGGTCCGCTTCCCCGTTCTCTCGTGTGTTTCCGACCTGCAGAAAGGCAACACCATTACCAGCAGTCCAACAGCCAACCATGTCACGCCCCAAGATACCTAAGCCATGCCCAAAATTCCCGCCGTGTGGATATGGCCGGGGACAGAAGAGGACGCCTTGACTGAAGGAAGCCCAGCTCTTGGCGAACGTCCTTCTCCTCCTTCTCAAATTCAAAACCTCTTTCCCCAAAGCAGCGTTCCTCCCAAGACCCTTCCAAGCAAGTATCCTCCATAAACACCGCAGAAAATGGTAACCGGCCACTTCTGCCACTCGCGGTCCCAGTCCAGCGGAATCGGCACAGCACCCAGCCACGCGCCGAACAGGCCGCCCACCAAACCGCCAAAGGTCTCGTCGAGCGGCGCACGGAATCCGCCAACCGCAGCCCAGGCGGCCGAGTCGACGCCGTGTACGTAGAAGAGCGGGAAGAGCGTGAGGAGGGCGAGGTGCGCGGCGCACAGGAAGGTATGCGATCCGTGTGTGAGGAAGGGCGCGCCGAAGAGGACCATGGCAAAGTAGAGGAAGGGCGTGGCGACGGAGGTCAGGACGGTGGCCAGGAGCGCGGTCTATGATTTATTTCACGAAAGATTAGCAAAGGTACATGTCAAATGGGATCTCCTAATCCTCTGAGAAGGATGAGACATGACATAACATACAATGATCGTGCTCGACCCAATGTCACCGCCCTTCTTCTTCTCGCCCGGCCGGGGTTTCCGGTTTGACTTTGACGCCGGCTCGCCCGCCGCAGGCAGACAGAGAAGCGCGTAGGTCATCTGGAGAGCCGCGACAACGGGCAAGGCGTTACGCATCACTGGGACGGGATCGGCGACGAGGGCGTCGAATCGAAGCAGGTACAAGGCGGTCAAGGCGGCCGGCAAGGCATGGCGGACGGTCTGAGCAGCGGGTG